TAATGGGCGGGGGAGACTCCCAATACCTACCTCTCAACCCAACAAAAACGAATTCGGAACCCTAACGTCCACAAAAAGCTGAATGTACCCCCTAAGACGGAGAATCCAAAGCCCAATTCCCCAAACCAAAAACCCCAACCCATACTGCTAAACAGCGTAAAATAGCTTCACCCTCAACCAGCCAGACATGCCCTGATCAAAGCCGAGTAGTGCCTCTGCCCCGTTGCCAAAAATACAGTTTAAACCCCTACCCCAATGGCAAACAAAGAACAAGACATCCTAAATCCTGAACTCATCCGAACCCTAAATCTGCAAAACCGTGGGTTTTGGTGGTTAAGCTAAACCCCGACACCCTGACACACCCAAAAAAAATGTGGGAATCGCAGCCGGTTCCTGAAAGCATCTCCACCTGTCCAGGTGTCTGGAAGCCTCAGAGTTTCAGCGGCTTGGGGCCAGTTTAGACTGTAAGGTTTGAGGGGCGTAGTGATGGGCTGAGTAAGTTTGAGGGTTTAGGGATTTGGGGGTTTGAGGGAAGTAGATATAGGGGGCCAGAATGATCAGAAAAATGTGTGGGAAGCTCTATATTGTAATTGACTTGAAGACCCACAAGGAATCGGGTACGTGGGGGCTGTAGGGTTCCTCGTGCCTTGGGGCTTCCACGTGCCTGGGTTCGGGTCTTTAGGGATTTGGGGTTTGCAAGATGTAAGATAACGGGTCTTGGGCTTAGGATTTAGGCTTTTGGGTTTATGACGAAATTAGGGTTGACAGGTCATTGGCGTTTAGCCTTAATCACGTAGGCCTTGCATCAGGATTTATTGCTTTTGGGGGGTTTGGATTTGGGGCTCTCCGGTTTCGGGTTATTTGGATTCCACATCAGTCTTTAGAGTCTGTGGTTTCGGGGTTTCACCGATTGGGTTTGAGTTATTTATGTTTTCTTCCCACCAGCAACAAACGACCAAGACTAATACTATAAACACATGACCGCAACACCTAATCACAACCGATCAGGCATCATTGGTCGAAGTCAGATCCACGTGAAAGCTGCGAAATCGTGAAGTGCGTGAATGTGTCGACGATGTAAACCACACCCAGATATGAAGGTCTTCATAATTAGAATAAGGTGTTGGGGCATGACATAGTATAGCATATAAGGGGATGAAGTACCAGTTGTTCCGTCTACAATAATTAGCTATCTTCTCATCAGGCCACCAGCACAACGAGCAAACTGGGAGGAGTACACTGAACTTACGTAGAAAAAGCATTGAACCACAAACCAACACCGAATTCGCACAACGTTCAGCCACAAAAACCTCCTCAAACCTTCGGCCTCAATTTCTACAAGATAATTCTACCACCTAAACCCGAATTCCCTAACAACCCCTCAACTCCAAACCCCTCTACCACACACGGCAGGAGAGGTCCGAGAATCCAGCGGGGCAAGCGGTAGGCGCCTGGATCGTCTACGAAAAAAGTGCTCTCTTTGGGGTTATGGTGTTACCGCATCTAGGATTAGCGGCAGTGGCGAATTTCGGATTTAGCATCCAAGACTGGAGGCTACGGCAGAAAAATTTCAATGTTGTGTGTACCTAAGACTCCGGACTGCGTGCGCAATTTAGTACATGGGGTCAAGCGATGAAACAAGTCGAAAAAAAGCAGCTCGGCTAGTCAAACGCTCTAAACCAAATAATAATAATAATAATAATAATGTTCCGCGGCTTCTCGCAGCCCGAAGCAAGGTGAATAGAATGTTACAACCATGTACCTCTCCGGACCAGGCAAGGGTATCATTCTACTACAGGACCTGAACAGCAGCAGAATAGGATGGAGGAGTATATCATAGCGTAGATATATAGGGACTGTAAGGCGATCTTGCTACGGCGAATTCCGACGGGCAGCCTTTGTTTTAACCCCAATCTGTGTTTTCTGACCCCCTCCCCTTTTTCTGAGCCCCGATCCTCTTTTTTCCGACCCCGAACCTGTTTTATTTTTGTCGACCTTATCCTGATCTCGGCCCTCCTTCCTGACCATCTTCCTTTTCGTCTGGCCTTCCAGCATCCTTCCATACCGCTTGACCGTTTGGGGGGACGTCGCCTGTTTTTTGACCGATGTCGCCTGTCTTTTGATCTTATCCTGATCCCGACCCTCTTTCCTGACCCCATTCCTTTTGGTCTCCTTCCACACCGCTTGGCTGTTGGCGGGATGTCGCCTTATTCATGAAGAGCTGGCCCTGAACCTCAGATGTCTTTCTAGCTTGCCTGCTTCTGAGCTACCCCTGAACCTCGCATTAGATCATTAGATCATTAGACTTCCTGTTACTTCCGAGCGTTGTGTCTCGCTCCAGTGCGTTGATAAACACCAAGTGCTCGCAGTCTGTGTGCTGCAAGAATTCCATGCAAGTGCAGAGCGTCGAAGGCATCGGCCTCCGCAGCCGGCGTCGGACACGGGGCCACATCGAATTTCCCAAGTGTCCCTGCAGCACGACACAGTGCGTCCGCGAGCAAAGCTCGAGTTTGTCTACAGCACAGCAGCTTCCAGCGCATGGCCCTCCTTCTGCATGAGGTCGACCACGATCTCTGCCGTTCCCTGAGAGACAACAGCCTCTGCCGGCATCGGCCCACGTGTTTCGCTGCGCGTCATGCCCAAAAAGACATCATGCCGATCTGGCCCTACAAACATTCCTTCGTCGGGTCGGTACGACGCCAAAGTCTGAAGCGATTCCGCTGGCCAGAAAGTTTCTTTTTGGGGTTGGCCCAGAAATCAACGGCAGGCGAACGCCCAGCGCTGCAAAGTGTTTGGCTGTTGAGGTGGTCTTCAGCGGGTCTCTCGGGCCATGTCAGAAAGCTTCGGGCATCACCCCAATGAAATTTCTCGCACCACTGCTCATTTTGGTCGGGGCTGTACGTGCCTCCGACTTCACCAAGCCATGCCAGTATGCATGAAAGCTTTCAAAGGCCTGGTGCCAGGATAGGTTCCTGTGATGCCGCGCCACAAACTGCAAACCAGCAAGTTGTCTCTGACCAGATTGGCTGCCCGACATGCATCTGCTGTCGCAGGTATTCGACTGGTCCTGGAAGTATGTGCCTTTCAAGTCGCGTACCGCCTTCTAACTGATCTTCTCCAGCCACGTGAAGGCCCAATGCCAGATTGCATCGAAGTGTATATATGATAGTTGGAAGGGCTCGGCTCAGGCTGATGAGGCGGTCCAGCTGCTTGAATGCGATTTGTCCTCAGACCATATCACAGGGGAACGACAGACTTGCGCTATCAATCAACCTGGGCAGTTCGCGCCCAACCAACACACGCAGAATCAACTCCGATGCCTTGTCCGTGCCGCCACCTGGCTTCGTCTGCCTTCCGCGCGTGGAAGCGACAGAATGACAAAGCCAAAGAACAACAGAATGACACAGAAATAAACACGGACGGACAGACGCAGGCTAACTCAGTCTCGGACTCGATGGCGACGCTAAGAAGCTTTTTGCAGAACTGCGTGCGACGCCCTACGCATGTGCCATGGACGAGCCGATGCAAAAACCTTCTTCGGGAAGGGAGGGGTCAGTTGGGCAGGTGTAGGGGTCGAAAACAAGGGGTATGGGGGTGGAAGAAAAAGCTGGGGATCAAAAAGGGATACGGGAGGGGGGGTCAAGAAAAAGGGTTGGAGGTCAGAAAAAAGTGTCGCTGGGGGCCTGCCCATGCAGGGGTCGGGAAAGAAGGTGAGGGGGGGGGGGGGGGG